AAGAAACACACCCTGCGGGTCTGGAAAGTTCGACAGGGTCATTTCGCGAACCTTGCCAGGGTCACGTCATCCGCAGGGTCACCAAAACCCGACCTTGGGGATATCGTATGGTCTACAGGGTTACAAGTTATCGCCATGACAGGGTGCCGATACCCGCAGGGTCGGTAAAGGAACACACAATGTGGGGTTTGAAAGTTCTACAGGGTCATTCGGTTCACCTTGCCAGGGTTACCTCATCCGCAGCGTCACGAAAACCTGAACTTGGGGGTATCGTGTGGTCCGCAGGGTACCATGTGCTCACCATGACAGGGTTTCGGTACCCTCAGGGTCGTCGACGTAGAACAGTATGTGGGGGTTGAAAATTCTACAGCGTCAGTCGGTGAAGCTTGCCAGGGTGGGGTCATCCGCAGGGTCATGAAAACCCGACCTTGGGGATATTGTATAGTCCACAGGGTGCCACGTGCTCACCATGACAGGGTTTCGGTACCCACAGGGTCGGCGAAGGAATACACCCTGCGGGGCTTGAAAGTTCTACAGGGTCATTCGATGAACCTCGCCAGGGGGGCGTCATCCGCAGCGTCACGAAAGTTAAACTTTGGTGATATCGTGTGGTCCCCAGGGTTACAAGCTCTAGCCACGACAGGGTGCCGATACCCACAGGGTCGGTAAAGAAACACACCATGCGGGGCTTGAAAGTTCTACAGGGTCATTCTGTGAGCCTTGCCAGGGTTACGTCATCCGCAGGGTCACCAAAACCCGACCTTGGGGATATCGTGTGGTCCACAGGGTTACAAGTCATCGCCATGGCAGGGTGCCGATACCCGCAGGGTCGGTAAAGGAACGGTTTGAAAGTTCTACAGGGTCATTCGGTAAAACCTTGCCAGGGTTACCTCATCCGCAGCGTCACGAAAACCTGACCTTGGGGGTATCGTGTGGTCCGCAGGGTACCATGTGCTCACCATGACAGGGTTTCGGTACCCACAGGGTCGGCGACGTAGTACAGTATTTGGGGGTTGAAAATTCTACAGGGTCATCCGGTGAACCTTGCCAGGGTGGGGTCATCCGCTGGGTCACGAAAACCCGACCTTGGGGATATCGTATAGTCCACAGGGTGCCACGTGCTCACCATGACAGGGTGCGCGATCTCCACAGGGTCGGTGAAGCAACACACCCTGCGGGGCTTGAAAGTTCCACAGGGTTATTCTGTGAACCTTGCCAGTGTTACTTTATCCACAGGGTCACGTAATTAAAACCTTGGGGATACCGTGTGGTCTAGAGGGTTACCAGTGCTCGGCGCGACAGGGTGCCGATACCCGCAGGGTCAGTGAAGGAACACACCATATGGGGTTTGAAAGTTCTATGACCCTTGCCAGGGTGGCGTCATCTACAGCGTCACGAAAACCCAACATTGGGGATATCGTGTGGCCCGCAGGGTTTCAAAATATTGCCGTGACAGAGTGTCGATACGCACAAGATCGGCGAAGGTACAGACCATCTGTGTCTTGAACTTCTGCAGGGTCATTGGGTGCACCTTGCCAGGGTTGCGTCATTCGCAGGGTCACCAAAACTTGACCTTGGGAATACCGTGTCGTCCACAGGTTTACAAGCTCTCGCCATGACAGGGTGCCCATACCCACAGGGTCGGTGAAGGAACACACAATGTGGGGCTTGAAAGTTCTACAGGAGGGTCATTGTATGCACCTTGCCAGTGTTACGTCATCCGCAGGGTCACGAAAACCTGACCTTGGGGATACCGTAGTTCACAGGGTTACAAATTATCGCCGTGACAGGGTGTCGATACCCGCAGATATCCGCAGGGTCGGTGAAGCAATACACCATGTGGGGCTTGAAAGTTCCACAGGGTCGTTTTGTTCACCTTGGCAGTGTACGTCATCCGCAGTAGCGTCACAAAAGTTAAACCTTGGGGGTATTGATAATCCACAGGGTCACATATTATCGCCTTGACAGGGTACCGATACCCACAGGGTCGATGAAGGATCACACCATGCCGGTCTTCACAATTCGACAGGGTAGTTCGGGGAACCTTGCCAGTGTTACGTTATCCACAGGGTCACGTAAGTCAAACCTTGGGGATGTCGTATGTGGTCCTTAGTGTCACGAATTCTAGCCACGACAGGGTATCGGCACCCACAGGGTCAGGGAAGCATACATCATGTGGGCTTTGAAAGTTCGACAGGGTGCACCTTGCCAGGGTTGCGTCATCCGCAGGGTCACGAAAACCAGACATTGGGGATATCGTATGGTCCACAGGGCATGCAGGCATTGACCGCGGGTCCGACATGTGACGGTGTTTGGTCCCTCAGGCTAAGATACCGTCTGGGCGGGTATATCTTCCCAAAATGATATCCCGACCACCTGCGGAGATTCTCATTATTTTATTATTTACATGTGTATTTTTTTTTTTGCTATTCCGACTTCATATAGCAAGTTGCGGCGATGGTTGGTAGCATCACAGCAAGCAGCGTGCTCTGTTTTTGTCCTCTACGCGTCTCAGTATGGCCTGGGAGTGAGCGATAGCGAGCGATTGGAGGAGATAAACGGAAGGAAGGAACTAAACGGAGGGAACCCAAGCTCTCATAGCCTGCACACAGCGCCACGGTCGGGCTATTTGCACACTTCAATTATGTGACACGTGAGTACTCGCGTCGCTTTTTCGATTCTCTTCGGGGAAAACCTTTGATTTACATGTAGGTTACTTTTTTTTTTTTCTCTTCTCCTTCGCCACAAGCCATCGCGAGCTCCCAACATGTTCGCGCCCACAGCCGGCTGCCCCGACTCAGCAGCCACCACCCCCGCGGCACGGAGAGGCCTCCGCCCGTTCCTGCTCTCCTGCTGTCAGCAGCCCTGACGGCAGCAGCATCACAGCTCTCCGCCTTCGGCACAATCTGTGGTAGATCCGGCCGACATCAGCATCTTCGCTTGCACCTTATTTATTGCCGACAAATTCGCCACAGGTTTCACGCATCACCTCTCGCCAGTGCTCCGTGATACCCAACAGACAGCACACTTCGGCAGGAATGCTCTCTCATGTCTCGCCGACAGGGAATATGAAAATAGCTCAGGCTACAACGCATGCAGCAGCTTATTCTCTCGCTCTTTTCAGGTCGCGAACGAAGTCTGGCAGATGCTGTGGTGGTGTTCGTTCAACAGGTACTTGTCCTCTTCCCCAGCCCGCTCGGCAAGCTTGAACCCATGCCGCCAGGTTGCAGCCCGTCCGCTGCGGCCACCCTGTGATGCTGACCCCGTCGACGAAACACCACAACACCGTGGCGGCGGCGGCCCGGCTGGCTATGCACCGTCGTCTTCGTCCTGTCCAGTTGCCGCGACGTGGCCGAGGGAAGGCGCCGGGCACATGTGGTAAAGATGCACGTGTCGTCGAATGTTTTCTGCTGGGAACACCACTGGGGACCGTCGCCCACGCAACCTCATCACCGGGTGTTGGGTCACGGTATCGGCCAGACGCGCGTTCCCCGACCCGGCGGACACGTACTCGAACAAGAGCACCCACCACGTCTCTGGACCGGGCTCGGCTGTTCCCTCCCTCGCATTCCCCCGGTGTCTGAAGAAATACACGATCTTACCCATCGATAGGTTCTCGACTGATGATGATGATGCTGTCGCGTCGCCGCCCGTGGGTGGAGTTCCTCTCCATACCTCGACGTCCTGTCCGCCCCCCTCCCCGAGCACCCAGGCATGAGGTGGGCTGTCATCTTGTAGGTAGTCCGCCGCGGAGCGCGCATCTCCGCCCTTCCAGGTTCCTGTACCGCTGCTGGCCAACAGTGAAGCGAAGTGGTTGTACCTGGAACACTGGATCGTTGACGAATCCAGATTTCCCGTGTTTGTCCAGCACGTGGGGCAGCGTAGTTCGGCGCAGCGAGGTGTACCTTCTCCTGCCTTCCTGCGGCACGCGAATGAAGCCTTATATGCCGCCTTCATGGCCGGCAAGGTCGGGCGAAAACGTCCAGAAGCTACTATTGCCTCCCATTTAGGTGGAGTTCCATCCCCGTCACCGCCAACCTCCACCCAGTCGTGCGAGTCTTGCATCAGAGAGGCATCCCAGATCGCGGACCCTTGGTGCGCGCCAGCCACCCTCTGCCTCGACGGGTTCCCTGGTTCTCGGATGTCTGTGCCTCCTTGTGACAACCCTCCGGGCAGGTCTCTCCTCAAGGTTTGTAGGACCCGTACACAAGATTGTCCGGGTCGAACAGTCACCTCGACGTTGCGACGTTTACGGTAGTCGTACTTCATGACGTTGTACCGCACACCATCCGCGAGAGCGGCCCATGCGTAGTTCGTGTTGGCACTCGTGATGTAGTGCTGACAGGCGTTCCGTCCGCAGCTCGACTTGTTGGTTCGCTTGTGCTGCTGATGAGCGAACTCCCCTGTGCTTGCGTTCGGGACGATCCCTGGTGATGATGGCGTGTATACATGGCAAACGTACAGCGGAAAATAACACAGGAGGGTTTTCACATGATGCACGCCCCTGGTTGTGGGTTTCAAATATCCCACAATAGGAAATAATGGTCGGGTGCTACCAGCACCTGGTGTGGTCTCTCTCTTCCATGATACAAGGAACTATGTATCACGATCGATATTCTACCGTCCTTGGTGAGAAATGTTCCACACAATATGACAACTCTGTACGCCAATTCCTATGTAGTACGCCCGACAACTAACGACGCGATAACAGTTCTCGTTCGTGCTCTTACCGTGATCGAGGATGGCCTCCTTGAAGTGCAAAAGAGTGTGCATCGAAGGTCTTACACCTGCTCGCTTCAGGACATGTTTCGCCCATCCCACCTGTGGGATTGCGATTTCGACGGCGCGGACAAATAAATACATACCCTGGCCCACCGTGTACCTCCTTCCTAAAAACACCTAAAATATAATGTTGTCGCATATACAATATAAACAATATAAAGATACCTGCGGTCGATTCAAATTTCAGGTCGATGTGCTCCTAAGCATGCCGTGATTAGTCATATCTGAATATGCGGGACGATAAACCACTGGGACCAGAAAAAAAAAGGAAGGGGTATGTTTTATGTCACAGCCGTGGGAGATTCGTGGCCAAACCGCCCCAAAACATTCATTCGGCCGCTTGAAAGCTCTGTAACGCACATTGTATAGGTCTTCATCCCACATCGGTAAGTAATATAAGCAATATAAGTTAATATAGCTGCCACAGGCCACACTGATTGGAAGACGTATGGATGCAAACAGCAGTATACGAAGAGTCGGCGAGGACTCACCATGTCTTGCGCGTGTTTGTGCAGCTGCTCGATTTCGACATCGTTGTAGGAGGGTGCACGTAGAGCAAAAGATAGGGACGACGCTGCCTGGACGAGTTGGAGGAGGCTATCTCGTGCTTCCTGCATCGACCCGTAGTCGTCCACCAGTTCGCCGAGTTCACGCCCCTTGATGTACATCTCCTGTAGATTTCGACGCAGGGGGTGCGATCATGTCAGTATGGCTCGAGTTGAAATACCGACGCAAATTTCGTCGCGGAAGAAGCACGACATCCTGGATGCCAAAGTTCAGTGCAACATATATTGTTAACCCCGTGCGCGGGTGATTGTCCCTCGAAACAACAGGACGTTCTACTTCAGTAATAGTTTGCGCGGTGTGAAGAACGCACGGCCGTTTTCCATCATCTCTGGTGTTCAGCAGTCGTTCTACCCGTCGCCGTCGAGTGTTGAGGCCTATACGTGCCAATAACTGCAGTTCGAAAAAAAAACAAAATGGTGCAGTCTCCCAGTGCTTTAAACCTGCGCGCGATGGCTGCAGAAGTCAGTATATGTGCATAAGGTCCGGCATTACACGTACGATTGATAGACATACTATATAGCTTGCATTGCTTCTGTTGGTACTCTCATGTTCTGCGTATTTAGGGTTAGGGAACACGAGCTTACCATCGTCGCCGTGGTGTGGAACACCGCCCTAAACACGAGCAGCACAATGGAGGCGAGCAGCCACTTGTCACTGCCAGTCAGGGACGAATAGTCCGCCACGGGGTCCTTCAGGGGTTCAGCACCGGGCGGGTACAGATTGTTACCCCTGCGCTGTCTCATGGTGGCCGATATGAGCTCCCGTCCCTTGGTGTTCAGCAGCGCAATCAAGTACTTCTGCACCAACGCCTGTGCATTCTGCAACAAAAAGAGTGAAGATTAAGCGGTCGCGGCAGTCGGCTGCTTCGACAGATTCAATGAACCGATTGGTTCATTCTATTGGTTCATTCTAAAGCAGTAGTTTCGCGCTGATGGTCGTGTGCGTTGCATACTTCAAACACCACGTCCGGAGGACGCCGCGCATCCGAGAGGTACTATACGAAGGTAAAAACATCGCCATCACACCCTTCGCGAAGCACCCCTCCCCCCCGTACGTTCCTGTGTTTAAACGAAGGGACACGCTTGTAATAATTCGTCCCGGGACCCGGACCCTTCGCCCGTGCTATCCACCCATTTTTTGTACTGTGTGTTTCCCAAACACTGCGCGAGAGACTGACCTCCGTGATCAATTTTCCGTGAACGTCACGAGCATTGTCGTGTGTAGATCCTTGATTAGAAACGACATGCCACGAAAAGTGTGCCTAGCGTATACCCCCGCGGCCTGAGCTAGCTTTTGTGCGATGGATGTGGTTTGGTGTGTAACTTTTAGCCGTCGGTGATGAAAAATGCTTGTGTCAATAGACGATATTTTTCGCGTTCGTTAATTAATTAATGGACTCCGGGGGGGAGTTACAAGCGCGGAACACGCCTTGCGATGGTGTCTATACAATCCTGTTTGACGTGTGTGCCGTTCGACGACACACCCGTGTGGATACTTGCGTTGAGAAAGTAGGCGCACTTTATGTATCCAACTTTGTTGTATGACTTGATGCACACGGCGTAAAAGTAGCACCGCGGCGGAGGTCAAGACTCACTAACACTGTAGAACTACTGTGTGAAGAGTATATGTGGATCAAAACTATCGTATATGACACAAGATAACACACCCCCTGGCCCGATTTTCAAAGCTCGATTACTCGATGACGAAGAGGATACATAAACGAAATGATACATTTTCGAAAAGCTCTCAACGAGACGGTTCCAACGCCACCGTTTTCGGCGCTGTGAGTCTTCCTGCTGTCGAGAAATCGAGCTTTGAAAATCGGTCAAGGAGGTGTTTTATCTTGTGTCATATACGGTATGAACGCACCAGAGCATCAGCATGCAAGCTTTCCACCGGCGTTACCCTGGACGGCACGATGTCGCACGCTTCGAACAGGAGCCACACGTCACCCTCCTGGGGGGCAACCACGCCGAGCGCAGATGATAGCTGTCCCTGCTGAACAGGGTTGGACGCCAAAGCCTCCAACTGGCTCCTTCCTTCCAGCATTAACCCCCTCGTTCGCCGGTTGGCGACGATATCGTACAACTGGTCGCCCAAGTCCCCCCCTTCGTTGTCTTGCGTCTGCTCTACCATGCAGTACATGCACGGGAACCTGCTGAAGCTGTTGGGGTGCTTGCAATAGCACATCAACGCTCGTTGCGGGGAGTCGGCTACCAGTAGCAAAAGTCCGCCTCGAAGAAAGACCTGCACCGCCGCGCAATTGTGATTGAAAGTGCACGCTCGTTGTGTTCAGCCATATCCACGTGACGTGTAGATAAAGTATGCCGTTAAACTGGTGGACTATAGGAGACCGGTTGCACATAAAACACGGCCTCTGACTATTGAACGCATACGTCTTGCGCATCACAGGTTGGCAATCTAGGAAATATTTATTGTTGCCTTCCTTGGTGAACACAAACCCGAAGCGGATGGTAAAATCCCTCGACACGAGAGAAGGCTTTATGCATGCAACACCTTTAAACGAAAGAAAAGATCTCTACAACACAAACGCACGGGTGGTTGGAAACCGTCGGCACATAGACGAGGACATCACAACACGCAGAAGGCGTACAAGCGCACCTTGACGACGTAAGCTGGTTCGCCATCGGTAGCCGGGAAGTGCACGACGGCAGTGCAACCCTTCTGAAGGTCACCCATGAGCCGGCAGAATAGGTCCATCTCGCCCTCACAGCTTGCCCCCTTCGGAGAACACGTTGTAATGTGCGCTTGACCCCTCTTCCGCTGCAACGCGAGCGTGGTGCTTCCGAAACCAATATACGTGCCCCCTACCGTGCTCTTCGTCTGCATCCCTACGCTGTTGAAACCGTCGATCATTCCAATGATTGGCATCGCCACGTAGGGGTCGTTGGCGGAATTGTGCACGAACCCTTCCTTGCGGATGCTAAATCTCTGATCGTCTGGCGTTCCCTCTTTCCCCCAGGGTTCCCTTGACACGACATACTCGCCATCAGCGTCGCTAGGTTGCTTGCGCCGCTATGAGTTTTTCATACGTCGTGCCGCGGCGGGTGATGGCTTCTTCCTTCTTACGAACCCCATACCTACGAATTTTCTCCCGCATGACCTCTGCCCTTCCGTCCACTCGCCTCCGCCTAGCTTGGCTGCCTCCTCCGGGTTGTAAATCTCACACAGGTCCGATATGTCAGTAGATCTCACCAAGCACTCGACGTCCTTCTCGTTGCAATCTTCCTCTTCTTCCCACGTCCTCACGAAGCGGTATTCATCTTCCTGGTGTATCTTCCCCTCGACTTCATCGGCTACACGAAATCGCCTCACAGACGCCATGATCGCGCCGAACTTTTCGTGCCACGCTAAAGATAGTACCCTGCAAGGCTGCGTCGACTCGATGCCGTCGAGCTTAACCATCGCTATGTCGTTGACGTAAACTCTCCTGCTAGAACCATGGGGTCTATCCTGTCCGAGTATGCCGTCCAACCCGACGTGCGGGCTCTCTCTCATGAGTCTCCCATGATGATTGCTACTCCTAGCGTTTCCCTCGCGAACCTCCGGACAAGATGAAATAACAAGCTCCGAGGCCAGTCCGTTCGCAGTCGACTCGGCTGCGGTGAGTATTTTTCCTCCCTGGTTAACCATCATTTCTCGCACTGCCGACTCCGACCTCAGTTTGCGGTCGATAATCAGATTCGCCGGTATTTCATGCACGTAAGCTTCAGTCTCCCCATCAGCCTTTGCAGTAGCGGAACACCTCACTTTACGCTTGAAGTGTAGGAGGAGGGGTGCGTAGCGCCGACTTCTCGCCCGAAAATGCTTGTGGTGCACCCCGGAAAGATCCTCGATGTTGAACTTGTCCCCGTTGGCGTCCTTAAAGCGGAGCATAGTCAGCAACCCCTCGATCACAGCGCGTGACAACTGATGCTTGTCAGCGAAAAGGTTCAATAGCATGACGGAGAGGTTTCGGTGAGGATAATACTCGGAGCCTTGGGCGCGTTTGTTGTATAGCAGATTCTTCGCCCCACCTTCCACCACCGTAGCGTTCTGCATGTGGTCCTCATGCAGTTCCCATATACGCCGTCTACCCGCGGGCTCGCCATTTCCGCGTGGCGCATATTCTAAAGGCACGTCTAACTCCCACGGTCGGTTTGCGCCCTCCTCCGCCCCTTCTGCTCCTTCTCTGTCGCAATCACTTTCTTCTAGCTCGCCCACGTCTACCCACTCGAAGTCGTCGTCGTCGCTATCGTCGACAATCCCCCCGTTCGAGCCAGCGCCCGGGGGGTAGTTCAAGTTTGTCGCAGAATAGTTGAACTCGTCGCACAGTTCTTCTAGTACCGACGAGTACATCAGCTCCGAATCGTCTGCCGTCTCTCGGTCATCTCCCCGACCCTCTCGATAACCGAAAGCATCACCTACTTCCATCATCGTCAGGTCACCACCGCCAACCTCACTCCCCTCTGGACTCGAGATATGGGTCCCGCCGTCTGCACATCGTGCAAGCAGGATGGCAATTTCAAGCGCACACATTTCAGGGGGGAATCGTTCAGCGGGCTGGCGTATGAATGTACGTGTGGGTGGCTGTACACGGGTTTTGGAGTACGCGGCACAAATATAAATGCTGCTGTGAATGCTCTTCAGGGCCGACAAGGAAAAAATAGAAGCAAACTGTTTTTTTTGTCTTATTCTACGACCATATACTACTGCTGTACAATTGTATATATACAAGGCTTTCGGCGGCTTACGCCGCCACGCTGAGAGAAGCGTACCGCAAGACGCATGTTTCTTGGCGTCTGGTAAACGATGGTATGCGGTGGCTGTGAGATTCCCATCAATTTGTTCCCGCAGTATGCAGATGTGAGAAATGATGTACCACATAGGGCGAAGTCACACACTGAACGTGCGTTGTGAGCAGTAGTGAGCAGAAACACGTACTTAAGCATACGACACGACACGGCTTAACAACTAAGTCACACGGTGCACACTAAGGCAACGGTAAATTAAAGCACGGTCCACGCAACGACACGACACGGCGTAGTCAACAACACGGGCGCCACCCAACGCAAACCACACGAAACGGCATAGTCAACCACGCAAACTTCATGACAACGGCAAAGTCACACACTACGACACGACATGGCATAGTCATCCTGACAACACGACCACGGAAGAGTCACACACTAACGGCAGCACACATACGCACAACACGCGACGAGCCGCAAACCCAGAGACTTTGAAACCAGCAACTATCCTCGTGGGATGCATAGTGACGCATACGACACGACATGGCATAGTCATCCTGACAGCATGACCACGGAAAAGTCACACACTAACGGCAGCGCACAACGACGATCTGCTAACCCATCGCACGGACTATGCCTTTTTGGCCATTAACCAGTCCTTGCTTAAAGTTAAGGTTCCTTGTTATCATTACCATACAGTTCAGCTTTAGGTTCAAGACATGAGGCGGAAC